GGGATTGGGGGGGGGGGGGTGTTAATTCTTGCAGAAATTCTCTTGACCTGTGTGGGACTGCCTGCCTGGTGTAATGAATTGTGCTAAACCATTCTTTATTGTATTTTAAGTATGAAAGTGGGGAGCAGTGTATTCTTTACTATAAGGAACTAATGGAAAGGTTGGGATCTATTCCCAATAGAAGTAAGTCTCCTTAGGAAGGATCAGTGTTTGGTCTTTGTCCAAGTTAGGGGACAAAAAACATCTGAAATGGTTCCGGAGATTGGTTATTTTATGACACACCGTGCCCCTTGCCCCTGATTTTGCAAAATTGTAGGTATTCCTCTGTAATCCTAATAACCTTCACAAAGTTCATCTCAGCATACAGCACTTACTTAAAAGTCTTGGGCATATTCAAGAATATGTTTTTTCAAGTAAAAGCTGTTACCTCTCTTCCTGAAGCCTTGGCAGCCTGGGTAGGAAGGCAGAGAGAGCCCGAGCCAGCAAGGTGCCCCGTGCACGTCTGATCCCTTGGAAATAACCAAGCTACCTCAAACATAATTTGTATTGCTGCTGTTTCGGAAGGTTCGGTGCTCCTCTTGGGCCAGCTGCGGTCAGCGCTTACAGCAATGCATAGCAAAGATGATCCAGACCCAAAAGCTGTGGAGGTCCTGTTGCACAGGCCTGCACTGACATAAGCAGTTAGTCTCCTGCCTGCTTTCCAATAGGATTTGGGAATGCGCAAACATTGAATCTACTTTCTAGTGTCAAAGTACGTCAACGAGTCTGAAAACAGCCTCCTGCCTTGAGATGCTTTTAAAATAACTTAATAGATATACTAGGTTCGGTTGCAGCTTTTTCCTTTTTTTGCTTAAAGCCAAATATCAAATAAATGGCTTAAAAAGTGGCAGAACTTGTTCCTTTTAAGCTTTTGTTTAAAAATTTCCTTTAATGACAGACTTATATAGGGTGACTAGGACTGTTGTGCAGCAGTGTGGTAAAACAGACTAGCAGAGAAATTGTGGCTTTGAGTTTGTGAATTAAATGTGGACATGGGCAAGAAAGAGACTGACTTCTGGATCCAGTGTTGTCTTTGCTGAAATAAATTGGTTATATTGGAGAAATTAT